TGGGTTGTACAGTTAACGTAGTCGTCAAAATATTAGAAAACCTTTTGTTTAATTTATCACGTGGGTTGTACAGTTAACGTAGTCGTCAAAATATTAGAAAACCTTTTGTTTAATTTATCACGTGGGTTGTACAGTTAACGTAGTCGTCAAAATATTAGAAAACCTTTTGTTTAATTTATCACGTCGGTTGTAGAGTTAACGTAGTCGTCCAAATAATAGAAAACCTTTTGTTTAATTTATCACGTGGGTTGTAAAGTTAACGTAGTCGTCAAAATAATAGAAAACCTTTTGTTTAATTTATCACGTGGGTTGTAGAGTTAACGTAGTCGTCAAAATAATAGAAAATCTTTTGTTTAATTCTAGTGACAAAAACAACACAGTATTATGCATTCTACCACCAATCTAATTGGGCCCAAAATCCCTTCCACTGATTCCGGTTAGAAGACATTAATTCATTACAGAACTAAATACAAGTTTATAAATTCCTTTAGATGTGAATAAAGCAAGCTAAAGTTGTTTTTTGTAAAACAACATAGAGCAAAAACTTCATAAAATTATTGCTGTATTACACAAGCCGCAATATCAACTTCTTACCTAAACACTCGCTGTATTTTAGACTCCATTTTGTATTCATTGCTATCAAAGGTTTGTTTTAACTAATCATACCTAAAATTATTGTATATCAAAATCTGGTTATCACTTTACAATTAAACAAAAGTACTTTTTGTTATCTTAATCTATTAAAATTCTTTTTTAAGCTTTTGTCACACATTTAAATATCTTTTAAACCAAAAATATCAATTTACAATCCGTTAGATTTAGCGTTATCTAAACAATTATACGACAATAGTGTGTATGTGTGTGTCTGCTTGTCCCACCAAACATGCTCGCCCTTTCAGTTGTGAGGGCGTTATTATGTGCGGTCAATCCCACTATTCGTTGGTAAAAGAGTATCGCAAGAGTTGGCGGTGGGTGGTGATGACTAGCTGCCTTCCCTCTAGTCTTTCACTGCTAAATTAGGGAGAGTTAGCGCAAATAAACCCACTTCTCTTAGGCCTAACATTAGTTAGTACAGCCGATATTCTATAAAGAGATAAATTAACATAATAACTTATGTATGTTTTTTGCTTTAATTTAGTTAGGGTTAAACTTAGATCTTTTGAAAATTTTTGATAAGCTTTTAATATTGTGATGTACAAAATGTCTACTAAAGTATATTTACATCCTCCTTTTGTAAATAAAACGTTGAAAACAAGGGCACGCGCATGCGAGTTTAGATAGTAAGTTGTGCGCGCATTTTTAGGATAGACAAAACATGAGAGTATTATTATAATAGATTTTGCGATTAATTTTCATAGTTAGTTTTTCTTTCTGGTCCTTTTTTATAACTTATTGAGTCAAAGGTATGATTTTTCTATTACGTAGTTTTGTTTCATGATTATATTATTGAGTGATAAGTTGTTTGAAATTTAGATATGTTGTTTGTAAAAGTCCATGCCTAGCAGTTCAGAATTCTGAGTATATACTGTTTTATTTATGAAAGCTTTAATAAATTCTTTATTTTATGTATAAGCATTCTGGTATTAACGTTTCAGTCACCATTAATGTAGAATAAAGGATTCGTTAGAGTTTTAAATTATAATCAAAACAAGGTTTTGATATCAGCTCAAAATAATTTACATGTACAAAAACAACCAAGTTTGAATAAATGGGAAAACTATATATAAGTAAGATATAAAAAACAAAACAACCAAGTTGTGTATAATGTAAAATTCTGTAAACATTTAGTGTAAAAGTGGATAGGTTAAACAATAACAATTGTGGTTCTCTGTAGCCACTGGAACAAGCAAGGACACGTGTATAATGTAAAATTCTGTAAACATTTAGTGTAAAAGTGGATAGGTTAAACAATAACAATTGTGGTTCTCTTCTCTGTAGCCACTGGAACAAGCAAGGACACGTGTATAATGTAAAATGTTTTAATCTGATATCACTACAACTTCTTTTGATTGTTTTAAAGTTGATTCTAACCCTATACGTCAGTCAGGGTAAGCTAGCAACGCAGATACACCACTACGCCGTTCTCACATTTCAGATATTTCACATTCCCATAAGTCTCTAAGTAAATACATATACTACAACTGCTAAACTCTTGCCCACATTAACATCTATCAGTGGAAGTTAGCTTTCTGACGGTCCTTTGTTTGTCTTTTCAACAAGTAAAAGAAGAAAAAATTTACAAATTTTCTGAATGCTTATTTCTCTTGAGTTAAAACAGATATTAAATTGTTTCTCAATATTTCGCTTAATCTAAAACAGATATTAAGCTGTTTCTCAATATTTCGCTTAATTTAAAACATATATTAAACTGTTTCTCAATATTTCTCTTAATTTAAAACAGATATTAAACTGTTTCTCAATATTTCTCTTAATTTAAAACAGATATTGAACTGTTTCTTAACATTTCTCTTAATTTAAAACAGATATTGAACTGTTTCTCAATATTTCTCTTAATTTAAACAGATAGCAAGCTGTTTCTCAATATTTCTCTTATTTAAAACATATATTAAGCTGTTTCTCAATATTTCTCTTAATTCAAAATAGATATTAAGTTGTTTCTTTAGTGATGTAAGAGTGTTTAGATTCAACATTTGTAACAGCTGTGGCAGTACCCCAATTTGGTCAAAAGTTCGATGCTGTATATAGCCATGACATCAGTCGAACTCGAACTTGGCTGGAGTCACTACCGTACCTCTAGGTTTGTAATGTTTGACGTTATAATTTCGGATTAAGTCGTTAGTGTTTTTTTCACAAGCTGTTCACTGTATCGTTGTTTCGATAGTAGTTTAGTTTCAGCTCTGACGTAATGACCCGTGTGTGGGCGTGTAAGCTTTCACTCTAAGTGCTTAGAGCACTGTGAAAGCCTCTTTATTTTGAAGGTCACTGTTAAGATAAATAAATAAATTTTAAAAAATGGAAAAGATTGTATCGTGCAAAAGGAATAGAATTTGATTTGTACAAGATTATATAATTCATAGTTTTATCCAAAGCCTGAATGTTTTATAATAACAGGAACTACGATTGATTTCGTTTGTTTGTTTGTTCTGAAGTTACATAATGTGTTATCTGTGCTGCACCCATCACAGATATCGAGCCCCGATTTTAGTTTTATAAGCCCTCAAACTTACCTTTGAGCGAACGGAGGTGGAACTATGGGAGTTAGAAATGTTTGCTGGGATTTCTAGTTGGTGATAT